AGAATTAATGGAGGTATTCCAAGAATAAAAATCATAAATCCTAGACTGATGATGATTATAAGGGAAGCCTGGTATTGAGCCAAAGAAGCCACTAGCTGCTTTCTCGTTTTTTCTTGAAGTCCTTAGATCAATAGCAGTTTGAGTCTCTGTTGATATAAAAACAAGATATTTGACATAAAGAGTAAGAAATAGTTTATCTCCATAAACATATTCCTTGGGCAATCTAGTCTCTCCGTTTTGGTCAGCAAAATACATATCTTTTCTCGCCCATGTGGAATTTAAATCACTGTAAATAACAATCATTTGCAAATTAATAAGGTTTCCAAAACTAAAAGGACGTCATGAAACTTATTTAAGGATAAGTTAAGATCAACTTCAGTAGAGGCAGTAGATCCAGTGGTTAATAGTTTCTTGGGCTTATAGACATGCTTTCAAATTTGGATTTTACCATTTAATAGCTGTATGACTTGAGTAGCTTCAAACAGAATCATAGTGATAAAAGAACATCCTTTAGCAGATTCGCTTTTGAGAAGAAATCTGAAATTAAGCAAATTGAGTCCGAAGGCCTGAGAATGCGGAGGCTGATGGTATAAGTCCTGGGCTGAGTCTGAAAGTCTGAGAACCAGGAGCACCGCTGTCTCAGCTCAAGCAAACTTACCCTTTTTCTGCTTCTTTGCTCATTTTAGGCTCTCAATGAATTAGATGATGCCCACCCACAATGTGAGGACAATTTTTTTTTTCTCAGTCTACTGGTTCAAATGCTAATTTCTTCTGGCGACATCCCACAGACACACCCAGAAATAATGTTTTACCAGTTGTCTGGGCATCCTTTAGCCCAGTCAAGTTGACACATAAAATTAACCATCACAGGAATGCAATGTCAGGTAGTGCTAAGTGCTCTGAAGAAAAACAAAAATGGTTAAAGGAGCTGGAGTGTACGTGAAAAAAAATAAAATGCCTTCTAATAAAAAATAAAGTGTGATATGTTTGTCTAAGGGATACCTCATGGTATGAAAATGAACAAACTACACTTTATACAACAACATGGAAAAAACTTTAAAACACAATGTGGAGTAAAAGAAGCAAGACATGGTACCACGAGAAAACAATCAGCCAAACCCAAAATATGGGATATTCTGCAGGTCAAATGATTGAGGAATAAAAGAAAGGAGTAGTCATAATGTTCTGATTTTTTAAAACTAACTATAAAGAGACATCTTTGAGGCAACTGGGGAAATTTGAATAAGAACTGCATATTAGATGATAAGATTTACTATTAATTTTGTTGACAGATATAATAATGATGGCTATCTTTAAAAAATTCCTTTTAGACATGCATAGTAAAGTGTGTATGGGAAAAATAATATAATGTCTGAGAATTGCTTTAAAATACCCCTACAAAAATTCATGAACAAACAATCAACAAGGTGAGGTTAGATAAAACAAGATTAGTAAATAATTGTTGATAATTGTTGAAATTGGGTGAAGAGTTATAATAACATAAGAGATTTCTTATGTTATTGTCTCTATTTTCATATAACTTTGAAAATCTCCATAATTCAAATGTTTTAAATGAGAAAAGTATTTAATTTACTTAGAAACTTGTTTTGGGCTTAAATGTAAAAATGTATCCATAAGAATAAAGTAGAAGTTACAAGTTTATGTGTCATTATACTTTTTATTTTGAGATAATTGTAGATTCATATGCAGTTGTAAGAAATAATTCAGACAGATCTCATATACCCTTCACCCCAATGTCAATATCTTGCATAACTATAGTATAATATCACAATCAGGAAGTTGACATTGATATAATCAACTGATCTTATTCAGATTTCACCAGTTTGATAGGTATTCATTTATGTGTGTATGGCATGTATATTAATTTCTATGCAATTTCATCACATGCATAGATCTGTGTCACCACCACCATAGTCAAGATACAGAATAGTTCTATCACAAGTTTCCCTTGTGCCACCCTTTTATAGCCGCAGTCACCACCCTTCCTCACTACCACCCTCAACCTGGGGCAACCGATAATCTGTTCTCCATCTCTATAATTTTGGCATTTCAAGACAAAATACGTAAGTGGAATCATACAGTATGTAATCCTTTGATATTGGTTTTTTCCCCCCCGCTCAGCATAATTCCCTTGAGATTCATCTAAATTATGGAGTCTATCAATAGTTCATTCATTTTTTATTGCTGAGTAGTATTCCCTTGTATGAATGGCCACAGTTTAACTATTCATTTGCTGAAGGACATTTGGGTTGTTTCCAGTTTTGGGCTTTGACAAATAAAGCTGCCATGAACTTTCATGTACAGGTTTTTGTGTGAACACATGTTTTCATTTCTCTGGGATAAATGTCCAAGAGTGCAATTGTTGGGTTGTATGGTATGCACATGTTCAGTTTCATAAGAAACTGTTATACTCTTTTCCTCAGTGGCTGTACCATTTCACATTCCCATCAGCAATGATGAATGTATGAATGTGTAGCTTTAACTGCTTAACTCACAGTTCTTCAGAATAACTAAAAAAAGAATTATGGTGTTTTGTGGTTACTAATTTCTGGAGATTAACTGACTTCCGTCTGATGAAAACATTCCAAAACTTTCAGCCCAATGGCTCCATGATTTGGGAAGATTTCTATAGGAGAAACTCACTGCAAAGAAGTTAGGTTAAGGAAGCGTTAAAAGTGTTTTAAAACAAGGCCAAAAACTTATTCTAAAGACATCTGAAAGGAGGAGAGAAAACATTTATTGGGCTGATATATCAGGCATTTGTCATTCTTTATCTCATTTATTCCTCCTCATGACCCTGTAAAAAGGTAATATTATATCCATTTTAGAAATAATACAATCGAGGCCTCAAGTAACTTTTCAAACAGGTCACAGTTACTAACTGGTAAAGCAAGAATGAGATGCCCATGTTTCCACCAGCTTCTAGCTGCCTTTAGCGCAGTACAAGAAACATAGGAGGCCATCAACACATTTGTTGAAAAGAATGAATGAATAAATGAACTTCAGCTCTGCTATTTATGTGTCCCTGGGCAAGAAAATTAATTTCTCTGAGTCTGTTTCTTCATTTGTTAAAGGAAGATAATAATAACACCTCCTTCAGAGAGTTGAAATAAGGAACAAAGAAGGGAAAACAATAGAGAAAAACAATTTGAAAAATGTAAAATGTTAAACAAATGTTAGACAGAATAATATTTTTTTGTGTGTGAGGAGATCAGCCCTGAGTTAACATCTGCCAATCCTCCTCTTTTTGCTGAGGAAGACGGCCCTGGGCTAACATCCATGCCCATCTTCCTCCACTTTATATGGGATGCCGCCACAGCATGGCTTGCCAAGTGGTGCATCAGTGTACGCCCGGATCGGAACAGGTGAACCCCGGGCCATGGCAGCGGAGCGCACGCACTTAACTGCTTGCGCCACTGGGCCGGCCCCCAGAATAATATTTTAAAAGTACAGTCAGTGTCATAATCAAATACTGATAAAATAAAGACATAAGACCTGGGTAGGTGGGCGCAGTGCCAGTAATTTACTGTGTGGCCCCATGATGATCACTTAATATGTCTGCTCCTCCAGTTTCTTCATGTACAAAATCACAATTGAGTTCAAAGCTGAGCACCTTAATGACACAGACTCTAAGATTCTCAACAAATTATGAAACAGAACCAAGACAGCCTCTACATAGGAAATTAATTTGAAAATGTTTATTATACTTCCCAAGATGTTCACAAGTATGTAGCTGATTATCATTATTCACAGCATTCTGGCCTTTATCAATTAGGTCATTTGGACCTATATCAATACATATCACAAATTATGACATGTATAACTTGCGTATGTGTATATGAAAATAGTATTGGTAACAATTAATAATATGAGAATTTATACATAATTTCCAAGCACCAGTCTCTAAGAAAAATAGGCACTGGATAGAAAAATCTGGAAGAATAGAAAAAGAATCAGTATATTGTCTGGGGAGGGGATATGGGTGGCTAGGGACAGGGATAAAGAAACTCCACATTTGTAACCCTCTGCACTTTCCTTTTGAATTCTGAACTATGTATTACTTCATTACTATTCAAAAATAGACTGACATTTTATAAAAATTTTGTATAAAAATATAACATTAACATGGAACCACCACAGTATATTTTTAGCATTGTCTTTATTTCACTTAAATCGTGAAAGTATGAAGCCACTTTATTTGCAATATATCTTTTTAACAGAAATTGTGGTCCCTATGCATGTTTAACTCTTTTAAATAAAACACTCTTTCCCTTTATTTTGTGAGACTGATTTAATTGAATGGAATGAGTTATTTCCTAAGAATTACATTAAATGCAGGTAGGGCAGCCGTTTTAGCCCCGGGCCCAGAGAGAAATGAGGCAAAAGGTGAACGCAGGTGAAGAAGAGAAAGAGGTTAAGTCCGGCATCGCTAAGGGCCACGGTTAGATGCTAGTGGATGTCCCTGCGCCAATGCTGGGGCATTAAGACTCCTGTGCGCTTCGAGGGTCTTCCCCAGCACGGGTACTGGATAGAGTTACGTCCCTGCATTTTCCTCATCTGCTGCCATCAGGGCAGGATTGGGACTTTGGCAGGCTCCTAAACACTGGAAAGATGATGGTGTCTCTCTCCCCGTATGTAATTAAAAATACAAGTTTATTTAGGAAATAAAACTTAATTAGGATGAATGCAAGACCTTCCTTCTAGACTTTCTGAAATAAAAATTCCCAATAAATTCATCAAAGCTGAACTTTTTTTCTGCCTTTCCCTCCTTTTCTAGTACTTTAGTCTTAGTCCAACTGCCTGCTCCAGAATCCAGCCCTCGCAGGCTGTGGAACCCCACCCACCTGGCTGCTCTCAGGTACCAACCCCACCCCTCCCCACCCCACCCCACCCCACCAGGAATCTCCTCCTTCGTTCCTCCCACCTGGCCATTAGCTCCGCCCACTGGGCGCATCGTCGTGACGTCAGCGCGCCGTCGCCGACGCCCGCAGCAAATGAACACAGGCGGCCGCGGTCCTCCGTCGTACCTTGGCATGCGCATGCGCGCTCGTTCCGGGCGCTCTGAAGACCTGGCGGAGCCCGGCGCGGAGGGAGGCCTGAGGGTGGCGGGGGCGGAGCGCGCTGCGAGCTGGGGGCATGTCCGCGGCGGGCGCCGTCTAGAGGGAGGCCGAGCAGCCGCCACCACGCTTTCAGTCGCGGCGAGACGCAAGCGAGCCAGGCCCAGGGCCGCGGCGGCGATGCAGCGACGGCGGCGCCCTCCGCCGCCCGCCTCTCGCCTGCCCGAGGGCTGCGGAGGCGGCGGCGGCCGCAGTGGCGGCGGCGGGAGCGAGGAGGTGGAAGTGCAGTTCTCCGCCGGGCGTTTGGGCTCCGCCGCGGCGGTTGCGGCGGCGGCGGCCGCGCGCAGCACCGAGGAAGAGGAGGAGAGGCTCGAGCGCGAGCACTTCTGGAAGATCATTAATGCCTTCCGCTACTACGGGTAAGGAGCCCGGGGCGGACCCCGGCCTAGCCCGTCGGGGCGCCCGCTGGTTGCGGCGGACCCGCCGGGACGATGGCGCCAGCCGCGCTCGCTCTCCGGCCGCCACGCCTCCGGCGCCCGGACCGGGCCGCCTGAGCTGACCTCGGGGCCCCGAGTCACCTTAGCGCCCCCCTGCCCGGGCCCTGCACGCTCGCGTCTCTGCCGCGCCGTCTGCTGCTCAGCCTCCTGTCTTCTAACCTCAGGATCAGATTAGCTCTCTTGCCTTCCACCCCTCGTTAAAGGTTTGGCTTTGAGGCCGGTGGGGTTTACTGGAGAAGTGCTATAACAATTTCAGGTAGAAGATGATGGTGGTAAAATCGTCCAGGGCACGGCATGGTGTGTATGGGTTGTCTCCAAACTGAACACACGGAGAGCCCAAGTTCACCTACACGTGGGATGCTGTAGGACGTTTTTTCCCAAACTGTTGCCACTTCTTGTGAGAGCAGCTTAAGATTTCCACCCCCCCCCCTTGGCGCTGTGAACGTACAGGCACGTTTGTGGTGAGCGAGTGAATGATCCCGTTCAATTTCTTTAACTGGTGGGTGAAATTAAGGTCAGAGGTGGGCCGGATGTACTAAAATTTGCTTATTATTAAGGAGGGAAATGAGAGAAGATGCAGTAAGAGTTGCCTTTATGATCTTTTATTTTCAAATATGTATCGAATTCTCACTGTGGGCTGGGCACGGTGGTAGGACTTTTAAACTTCTTGACTTCCACTTTTCATCTTTTTAGATAGATGTTAAAATAGCTTAGTCGCAAAATTATAATTTCAAGATCTGAAAGGGACTGGAATCAACTAGATTTTCGGGTTAAAGATGGCACTTTTATTCGTCTAAGACATGAGTCCGCCGACGGCTATGTTCTGAGTCTGCCATTGGAAATCAGACAGACAGGACCTCCTACGCAAGTTAAAACTGTTCCCTTAGATGGGCTCCTGCTGTGCTTTATGCAGACTTTTTTATGTTGCTTGACTGTGACCTCCTCAGGGACAGGGACTGAATCTTATTTACTTTTTCGTCGCCAGCCTTTGGCGTATGTTGTTGAAGCTCTGTTTTTAACAAATAAGACAAATAGTAGCAAAGAAATACGTTTGTCATTGCTAAATAAGTAGCAAAGAAATACATTTGTCGTTCCTCAATAGTCTATTTGTGACTAATGGGTAAACTAGTTTGTTACTATTCTGAATTTAGAAACTTGGTTAGTAAAAGCTTCAAGTTATTTAGAAATGACATGAATTTTTGAAGTTCGAAGATCTTGATGAAATAGTTTACTCATTAAACCCAGGCCTGGGAACCGTGGACTGCATTACTTATGGAGCCCAAAAGGGAATTCGTAGTATTCGTAGTATTTAGTATCAACAGAGGGAGGAAGGCAGACAATCAGAGAATTGAATTTGATGCAAGTTTTGTGCCTGGAAGAACCAGGCGGGGAAGGAAAGTAGCTGACATTAGATAGCTAAGAGTGGTAGGTGCAGAAAAGTCGGGTACATTTTACTATAGAAAAATCTAGAAATAATATTGGGAAATGTCTTGGGAATATAGTGGACCCAATTAGTTAATATGTGTTTGTACTCAGTTCTAATATGTTAGGACTAATTTAGAATTGATATTTGTGATTAGGTATTAGATGGGCCTTTTTTTCGGGGGTGGAGGTGGGGGGTAGCAGGGGAACTTTTACCTGGAACTGGGACCCAAGTGTGGCAATATAGAAAAGAGTGCTTGTGTGAGCCTTCTAGTGGATGTGATACCGTTTCCTATACTCTCATCCCTCTTCTTTACCAGTTAATGTGGGGTTGAGGAAAATTTCATTTTTTTAAAACAACCCTTTTTATTTGCATGGACTCTCTTGATGAAACACTTCAAATCCCTAAACTGAAAATAGTATGCAATGAAAAATATGCTTTTAAAATATCAGTTAAAGGACTGAGAGTGTGGAAAGCATTGTGTAGCAGAAAACACACTGGGATTGTTACATTCCAACATTTTGTGGTCTTCTAGATCTGCACTATCTCATACTGTAGCCACTAATAACATCTGGCTAAATTTAAGCTTAAATTAATTAAAATTTAATAAAATTTACAATTCATTTCCTCAGTCTCACTAACCACATTTCAAGTGCTCACTGGCCACATGTGGCTAGTGTCTGCTGGATTGGACAGTGCAGGTGTAAACCTTTCCGTCTTGCAGTAAGTTCTGATGGACAGTCCTATTCTAGACTTTCAGCAGGTACTTCCAAACTTTAGAGAGTTTGGTTTTACTGCTAAATGTCTTTTAAGATTAAGATTATAGGAGATTAAGATTAAAGGTCATAGAGCAAGAAATGTCCTTTGATTGATGTTTTCTCTTTCCAATGGCTTCCAATTTTGTACTTCCTACAGATTTTGCTTAGATGATGTATTCTGACTAAGGTAAAAATGATTATAGCCTTGTACTGAATAGCAAAAAACGTTTGCCTTAAAATACCCCTCTTGTTGAGTGAAGATACCTAGTCACATAGAAAATACTACAGTTGAAAAATCAAAGGTCTTGTCAGAAACATCCTACTTTTAGAAATAGTGGTTAGATGAGATGTTTAAAATTGAGATGTAGAGTCTATTTTTACAGGTGAGGGGATAGGCATATAAAGAGGTGAGCAACTTGCTCAGGGTTACACAACCAAATTGTGGTAGATTCTGGCCTGAAATTCAAAATTGTTCACTAAAATTTTACCCTTATTAGTAAGTAAATTACTAGTGTTAGTAAGTAGTGATAATAGTAAGAAAATTTTAACCTTGGGTATGTAATAGATATTTAAAATGGGATTGGACAGACGTTCCTTCTGAAAAGATATGCTTTTCTGTTTGCAATTCTAGAGTAGTTCAACAGGTGCAGAGGAATGGGTCTTTGACCTTGGACCCTGGCTCAGACCCAGCATTGGATTGACCCTGATGAAAGGTGACTAAGTCAGAGTTGGGGTCACTGCCAACCCTTGAGGAAATATGACTGCTGACTCTACTGTATTCTCCTCTTAGCCAGCAGAGGATGTGGCCACTTGATGCTGGCTGACTTCTGAACCAAGGAGAGTCTGAAGGTTGTAAAACATTCCTTTAAAGCGGGGTTGGCAAACTTTCTTTAAAGGGCCAGGCAATAACTATTTTAAGCTCTGGGGGCTAGGTGGTCTCTGTTACAACTATTCAACTCTGCCCTTGTGTGGAAGCAACCATAGGCAATGTGTGAACAAATGGGCATGGCTGTGTTCTAGTAAAACTTTCTACAAAACGGACTGAGTAGCCAATGGGCCGTAGTTTGCTCACCCCTGTCTTAAAGCACATTGATAGCATAAGCATTTCTAGAATAATGAAGTTAGCCCCAATTGTAATAGTATAGTAAAGATTGGACTCTTTTCTCAACTTTGATAAGACCTCACTTATTTCAAAAGAGTCCCTGTGGACATATGTTGTGGACAGCTTTGCACACCATTAAGTAACCAAGGGTTAAAGGATATGCTGCATCTTATCTTGCTTTTTGTAGTGCCATCACTTGTGTATCAGGAATTGACAGCAAGTATGTGGGGGGCTCTTCTGACCAATCCATAACGTATCTCAACTCCCCTGCCGTCATGGAAATAAGTAGTCTCCGTGGAGAACCAAAAGTGGCACTTCGGGAGCCTAGCAACATTTATCAGTTGCTTTTTACATATTCTGAAATATGGAGTTAGTCACAAAGATGAGACTTGTGTTTTAGAAGAATTCATCTGATTGGAGTGGCAGGGGGAGTTAGGTTGGGACAGCATTCCTAGGTAGCAGGCCTCTCAGTAATCTTTGGGAGACATAATGAGGGCCTGGGGTAAAGAGGAGGAATAATTTGCAGCTAGTTTTATGAAGTAAAATCAAAAGGATCTCAGGCTTATTGATTGTGTGGGCCATGAGAAGAGGCATTTTGGGATGACTTGTTAGTTTCTGACTTGAATGGATATATAGTGTATCATTCATCAATATCAGCCATACAGGAAGAAATGCAAGTTTTTTTGGTGGGATGTGTGGTAAGTGCAGCTGAATGTGTTGAGTTTTGAGGTGTGGTGAGAGGGAGGTTGTGGGGCATCCAGTGCCCAGGAATACTAGAAATGAAGTACTATGAGACTATTTGACCTTTTGACAGTGAATTATAAACTGTTGGAACTCTTCTGTTTGCCTAACATATTATGGCGGCTTTAAATAGTTCCTTTAGTGTCATTCTCTACTGCTAGGAATGTAAATTGATACAATCTTTCTGAAAATCGGTTTGTATCAAGAGCCTTAAAAATACTTATCCTTTCTGACCTGGTAATTCTTTTGGGAATTCGTGGTAAATTTTTTTCGCTAAAATTTAGACAGATTTTGAACACAAAAAGTTCATCATATAGACAAGTGAAAGTATCTAGATGCCCAGTCTAGTTTGGGAAATAGCTAAGTAAATTTTGGTTCCATAAGATGGATGATGAAGAGTCATTATAGTCATTTGAGAACTTTTTTCTGACCTGGGGAAATTCTTCTAATAAGGATGAAGAATTACAAGTGCTTCTAAAACTTGAATGTGCATGTGAATCGTTTGGAGATCTTGGTAAAACCAAGACAGATGACATTTCAGTAGGTCTTGGGTAGGGCCTGGGATTCTCCCTTCCTAAGCACTTGCAAGTCATCTGCTGTTATGTGAACCACGTTTTGACTAGAAAGGCGCTAGGTGACTTTGTCTTAAACAACAAGAACAAAACAAAGAGAAATATGCCAAAGTTAGAAGTGGTTGCCTCTAGAAGAGAGATTTTTAGTAGCTCTTTTCCCCTGAGTACTTTTACTTTTCTGCATTTTTCATATTCTCATTGTAAACATATTAATTGTATAAATTAGATATACCTGCTATCTTTGAGTGCTTGCTGTGTTTTCAGGCACGGGGATCAGTGTTTTGTGTGCATTTTGTTACATTTTTCAGTGAAACTCCATTGGGTAGGCAGAGGAGTATAATGATACCTACCTCATTGGGTTTTATGGAGATTTTTCAGAGTAATCCATGTTAAGTGACTTGGTTTAGTGCCTGGTATTTATTAAATCTCAACAAATGATCACTTCTGTAATCATCATCATCATCGTTGTTGTTATGTATTACCTAGTTTTTGTATGAGATGGTTGGGGCACAGAGAAAGGAAGTAACTTGCCAAGGGTCATGGAGCAAATAGGTGGCGTAACCTGGATTTCAATCCAGATCTGTTTGACTCCAGAGCTCACTATTACAGTATCTCCAGGGTGAAAAAAGCAAAAATCAATGCAGCCTCTGCCAATTTGATCTTTTCGCATTACCCCAGTCCCCCCAGAGGATCATCGCACGTAAGCTTTGAAAAACATGGCCAGATTTTTGCTTAAGTTTTGTCAAGAGCTTCTTCAGAACTTCTTTAAATATTATTGTTCAGAAATTAGACAGTGATTTGGCATAAGAAGGTAAAAATGAGAGAATTATTTGGATGAATAGAGATTCAGGCAACCAAATGAAGAGGAGTATTTTTCATTTTCGTTTAATATTGAGTAAGTGCCAAAGAACATTTAGAAGACATATACATTTATTTGTTTGTGTATGTAAAATGTAAAGAATGATACAGTGAACACCCATGAACCTAGCACCCAGTTTAAAAAAAGAACATTATCCTATCCCTTTCCCCTCAAAGAATATCACTTTCCTGAATTTTCATTTCCTTGCTTTCCTTGTAGTTTTTACATATGTTCAGTCCCTACAATATATTATTTTTACATAAGGTGGAATTGTGCATTACGTATTTTTCTGCAACTTGCTTTTTCTTTTCATTTTTTTTTTTTTTGTGAGGAAGATCAGCCCTGAGCTAACATCCATGCTAATCCTCCTCTTTTTGCTGAGGAAGACCGGCTCTGAGCTAACATCTATTGCCAATCCTCTTCCTTTTTTTTTTTCCCCAAAGCCCCAGTAGATAGTTGTATGTCATAGTTGTACATCCTTCTAGTTGCTGTATGTGGGACGCAGCCTTCAGCATGGCCGGAGAAGCGGTGCGTTGGTGCGCGCCTGGGATCCGAACCTGGGCTGCCAGTAACGGAGCGTGCGCACTTAACCACTAAGCCATGGGGCCGGCCCCTGCAGCTTGCTTTTTCAACAAATATTTATGTTCCTGGGTTTTATCCATGTTATTATGTGTAGTTGTAATTTATTAATTTAACTGCATTCCATCGTATGGCTGTACTGTACTTTTGTCATTCAGTCTACTGCTGATGGACCTTTGGGTTGTTTCCAGATTTTTTGTTTATTTCTAACAGTGCTGTGATGAAGATTGTTCACGTTTCCTGGTGCCCATTTGCAAGAGTTGCTTGACTATGTGTCCAGGAGTATAATTGCTAGGTCGTAGGGATTGTGCATATTAAGCTTTACTAGGTAATGCTAAATTATTTACCAAAATGCTGATTTACTAATGTATGCACTCACCATCAATCAGTATATAAATATTCTAATTACTCTACATTTTTACCAACATTTCATATAGACAGGCTTTTAAATTTTGCCCATTTGATTGATGTAAAATGGTGTTTCACTGAGTGTAATGTTTAACTTTTAAAAATGATGTTTTCAGATTTTGTAAATAGGTAGTCCCCAAAATGACTTTTAGAGTTATCTGGAAGCTTTTGGATGCAAAATGTGAAGGTGGTTGTATAAAACACTATAGAATTTCAATTTTTTATTTGTTTACTACTTTTGTAGTACATAAGATCTTTAATGGTATTTTAAAAAATTCATCTTGGTTGGCTCTTACTTAATTTCAAGACACATTTTGTGTATATTCTAAAGTAACTTCAGAACAGCATTCTGCTATTTGATGGAGAAATCTAAAGAATTCAGCTGGTTTTGCTGAAAATTTTAAGTTTGGAAATTGAAATCATAAAAATAAACTTATTGTACGTTAATCCTCTTTATGTTTCTGTTAATGCTGTTTATGTTTCCTTTTTTCCTTCTTCTAATTGGTGCAGATGTTTACTTTTACTACTTATAAAGTATTTGTCTTTTGTTTGGTTGCTTAGAGAATTTGTCATAAGGTGAAAACATAAACAACTTTCTAAGTTGATGTCCTTTAAGAAACCAAAAGATTGTAAATGACAGGACAGTATCCAACATTATAAGGGAATAATTGTACAAAAAGACAACCTTAAAATAAGATTGTCGTCTGGTGAGAATTCTTTTGCCAATTTAAAAAACACCTTTTATGTTTTAGCACCAGTATGCATGAGCGAGTGAACCGGACAGAAAGACAATTTCGATCACTTCCAGCTAATCAGCAGAAACTACTTCCTCAGTTTCTTCTTCACTTGGACAAGATCCGGAAATGCATTGATCATAATCAAGAAATACTACTGACCATTGTGAATGATTGCATACATATGTTTGAAAATAAAGAATATGGAGAAGATGTATGTGAAAGTTTGTTCTACTTGTTTTTTGTTTTTTTTTTTTTTTAAAGATTTTATTTATTTTATTTTTTCCCCCCAAAGCCCCAGTAGATAGTTGTATGTCATAGCTGCACATCCTTCTAGTTGCTGTATGTGGGACTCGGCCTC